AAGAAACACGCGTGTAGTTTTCATGAATCGCTTCGATCGCACGCCAGTCTTCGGAACATAACTCGTATTTTTATCAGGCAGCGACGCAAAGATGAAGATCAAGTCCAAGTCTTCGTATCACAAGTCAGAGAACACGTTCAGGGTGAGGGGCCACACACACACACACACACACACACACACTCTGCAGCGTGATGCTCATACAGCAAAGTTCTTTAGGAAGATCTGGTGAACTTAGTGGTGATTTCACAAATATATGGTTGTTAATTAAGTTTGTGAAACCTCAGGAGTTCTACATGTGCATGTGGGCAAGTCATCCAAGTTTAAGATCCTCCTAGGTTTCAGGTATTTAACCTCTGAGGGTCTGTACCTGCAGGTCGGAGGTCGGTCCCTGGCTCTGAACCGCACATTGCCCATGAAGGCAGTGCGGACAGTGTGTGAGTGATGTGCGACAGAGACAGTGCTGCAAGGAGATGCACCCTGCGAATGTGTGTGTGAATGAGTGAATGGCAAAAACTGTGCTGTAAAAATCAACACCAGAAAACTGCTTTATAGATAAACTCTTCTTTATGGGCAGATAGTGACAAACCGCAAGACATTTGACAAGAAGATTACTTATGTGTTTATTTTGTTAAATTGCTTTTGATGAAATTTGTACTGTAGAATATGATATTGTCCGACTATAAACTCTTCTGACTTTGTCACGTTCAGTTTCTCACTTTTGCTGAACGACTCTCCAATGTCAACATCGATGTCGTCCATCGCATCGACAGAACTGGATCTTATGCTGAGGTTTGTACAGTCAGTGATCATGATACCTTAATCAGTACTCCCATCTATTAGGTGAATGATAACCACGTTTTCATGGTTTTTATTTGCTCTTGATGCAGGAAGTAGAAACATACTTTTCTGAAGGGCTGACAAAATGGAGAGACCTCAACTTGACCGAGCATTTCAGTACGTATACACTAGAAAGAAATGTCACATCATTTGCTGTAGTAAGCTCAATCATTCCTCTGCTAAATCTGAGAAATGATATGTTCTTGCAGCTGATGTGACTCTGGTGCTTTTCCTCCACAGCAACATTCTCGAAAGAGGTGTCCAACAAGAGCCAGTCGTTCAACATGCTGGTTTTCCACCAGGAGACGATAGTGGGGACTCTGAAAACCCACCTGGCTGTGAAGAACAGCCTGGCCTACCAGCCTCTGCTGGAGTAAGTGTTCAGCCAGGAGAACGAGTTATTGTTTGTTGGTTCTTTTTCGCTGCTTTGGAATCAACACTGTGACTTTAACATTACCAGGCTGTAACTCAAGTTCTGTTGCTACTTCTCCCTCCAGCCTGGTGGTTCAGCTGGCCAGAGACCTGCAGACTGACTTCTATCCTCACTTCCCTGACTTCTTCGTTCTCATCACATCACTGCTGGAGACCAAGGACACAGAGGTCCTGGAGTGGGCTTTCACCTGCCTCTCCTACCTCTACAAGTACCTGTGGAGGGTCATGGTGAAGGACATGACCAACATCTACAGGTGAGAAGTCCGCTGGAGTCTGATGTTCTGTTTCGCCGGGGGAACATGTTTTCCTTTGAAGCTGGTCATGGATGGCTTCTGCTGTACAAATGAAATATCAGAAAACTGTCTGAAAACTTAGATGTATAATACTTAAAATTCAGTTCAATAAAATGATGTCCATATAGGACACATTTAAGTTTGAAAAGCAAAATAAGTCTTATGTGCTGTCCCACGCCCTCAATACGTTACTGCAGCACTGACCTACACTGTGGTGTGTTTTTGGCAGTCAGACTGTGTACAAGTTACATTTCGATTGGCGTTAACTCCTCTTTCCATCTCACAGTTTGTACAGCACTCTGCTGTCACACAAGAAGGAACATATCCGCAAGTTTGCCGCAGAGAGCTTCTCTTTTTTGATGAGAAAGGTGAGTGACTTCAAACAAGAATTCAGGTTTTGCTTCCTTGTGTCTTTTTTATCGTCTGAAACGCTGTATCCTCATCTGTGTTTCTGTACGCAGGTGTCGTCAGTATTGAATTCATAAATCTTTTCCTCCTGCAGGTTCCAGATCTCGACGCCCTGCTCACCCATGTGTTCTCAGACCTGCAGCAGCACCCCGACAAGGCAGAAGGAGCTGGCCAGCTGCTGTTTGAGATGTGCAAAGGAGTCAGAAACATGTTCCACTCTGCTGCTGCTAATGTGAGTTTGTTTTTATTAGATGTGAACTAAATGGTTGGTCATGTGCGGAAAATGCTTTCTTTGCCTTGTTGGTCTCAGCCTCAGAAATCAAGTGTTGGTAGATGTCATGGCGTAGTTTTAATTTCAGTTTCTGTGCAACGCTTCCCTCCAGGCTCTCCCTGTGGCCCTGCGTAAGCTCGGCCCCACAACCAACCCAGGAGTCTCTCTGCCCTGGGACACTGTCAGGGACGCTCTGGATTACATGGCCCAGGCCGCAGCCGATCAAGTCGACAGAGAACACTTCCTGGTTTTATGGGAGTCCTTACAGGTAAAGCAACACTGTCAGAACATCAGGTACACATTCAGACAAATACCACTGATGGTTATTCAGGCCATTTCATCCCTTCATGTGTGTTTCTTGTGTAAAGTTACTTTCCTCTCTTGTAACTAATGGAGCTGTGTCTGCACACACAGGTCAGTGTGGTGGAGGTCCTCGCTGTCGTGGAGGCGAGAGGAGAGGAGGCAGACGAGGCGTCAGATCAGCTGGAGAGGCTGCTGTTCATTTTCCACACCCTGGCGTCCCACAGAGACGGAGCCAAGGTCACCAAGCCAGAAGCCGTCTGCCAGGTAAGAGGAGGAAATCGTTTGTGTTATGTAAACGTCTCATCGTGCAGCTTGTCCCTTTCCACTGTATGTTTTCACCATCTTATTCTCCCGTGCCTGCAGACGGTGCTGCGGTTGATTCAGAGCTCGGCTCTGTCGGTTCCCTGTTCCCGCCTCCTCCTCCAGATCATCTCATCCCTGCTCCTCGGGGAGAACATCAGTCTGCCCAAGTCCCTCATCCAGGAGACCATTCAAAAGGTTAGAAAAAAGTTTCAAGGCTAATTTTAATACAATGGTTCTGAACCTTTTAAAGTTTAAAGTCTTTTTTTTTTTCTTGTGTGTGAACAGACTTTCACAAACACACTCATGTCCATTCTAAAGCAGATCTTATCACTGGCACAGGCAATTTAAAAGTTATGTAATAGTGTTCAGAAATGTGAATGTGTGTGTACATGTTTGTCTGACTTTTGACTTTTCTTTCACAGGTGTTTGGCAGCAGACTGGGACAAGACCTGATTCTAGAGTTCACCAAGGAGATGTTCACCATGAAACAGTTTGAGCAGGTGAGTCGTCACAAGTGAGATATATTCAGTGGTTTCCTCTGTTTGTGTGTCTGCCTGTGTCTCCCTGACTCTGTTGCCTACTGCACACCACACCATTTTTGGCCTGATTTTCCAGTGGCTGACAAACTTTGGAACTTGCAGACAGGCGCCCCTGATCGGGTCCAAATCAGCATTTGATGGGTGGTCGCCAATCACTATTTATGAAATTTTCAAAAATGCATTTTGAAAGGCCTGTCTCCTCCGATTAGATTCCTAGCAAAATATCCCCATCAAACAAGTTGTGTCGTGTGAACCGCACAGTGATTTGACAACTTTGAAATCCTTGTAGTCTGAACTTGGTGTAACATCTTCCTGCAGCTCTTCCTCCCTTGCCTGCTGCGCTTCACTGCTGGGTTGTTGAGTTGTGGAGACGCCCTGTCTCGCCACTGTGGCCTGGAGGTGCTGGTCAGCTTGATCCTGGCTAAAGCCCCGCCCCCGACAGACGGCTCCATGGCCTTTGAAACCTACCCACTGCTCTTCACCGGACAGAGCACAGGGTGAGATGCTTCAGTACATCTGAAATATTTTACCGTCGCTTTTAAAATCAAGTTAAAGGCCTGAAAAGTCTCTCGCTGTCCAACTTATGCATTGTCATTGTGCTGTTTTCCTCCAGCAGTGCGCTGAGCAGTAAGGAGGAGGGTCAGGTGAGCAGTATGACACCAGAGCAGCCGACTGTGCCGGAGCTGGTGCTGTCCCTGATTAAATTCCCTGAGGAGCAGAACCAGACCATCGCTGACCTGTCTCTGCCTTGGTCCGCCCTGATGCTGCTGCCACACATCAGGTAACACACACATGGATGCACTGTCACATTCCTCAGGTCTCCTGGTCAGAGTTTCTTATTCTCAGAGATATTTTTCAGGCGGTTTCTCTACATCTTGTCTTTGCTTCAATATGAATGAAAAAGAGTCAGAGTAAAATAATCAAGTATCTAGAGGACTGTTGTAGTTAACAGTGAACTTTGCTCCCTGACTTCCCTCCTCTTACTTGCCTGCAAGGATTGTTGAAAGATCTGTCTTATGTCTTTATATTTATCGTTTCCTCATCTATTTTTTCAGACCGCTGTCTCCCGTTAGCGTTGTTCCTGCTGTGAGCGCTCTCTTAAACCACCTCCTGTGTCAGATTGAGACAGAGAAACTGGGAAAAGGTTTGTTATATTGTGTTTTCTTCATTAAAGGTCCCATGTATGGTTACTGTCCGAAACATAAATGCACAATGTAAATGCAAATCAACAGTGTTGTCCTCACTGCTTTTGCATTTCTGAGCGCCTCATGTTTTCCCACAAATTCTAGGGAAAATGATGTTTAGAGGAAATTGACCCACTGTCAGATAAATCTGTTTCTCTTCATCGTCTTTCCCCAAACAATATTTTGAATTGCTCGTCCAGTTTTGTGGATCATTCAACTGACTGTAGCCCGTCTCCCTGCTCCTCCCCCCTCCAGCTGGTCTTTTTGTAGCCAGACAGGCCCTGAGCTGCCTCCTCAGTCTGGACGGCTCTGCCCAGCTCCTCTCTCTGGTTACTGTGGACAAGATCACCTCAATCCTCAGGTCTGCACTGCACCATCATCGTACTAAACAATGAAACCCATTTTCTTCTCCTGTTCCACGTTCAGTTACATTTATCACTGTTATTACAGGAGGTTTCCCACTAACCTGTCCGCCTTGCTGCTGGGAGACCTCTACTATACCCGCATGTCACTCAGCGGCGTTTCAGAGCATCTATCCCACAATGCACTGCTAGAGGTCTACCATATTCTGCACGCCAACCTCTCCTCCAACATCTCTAAGGTTTGTCTCCAGTCACACGAGTGGCAAATTGGATTCTTTGAGATTTGAAAGGTCCCCTAAATAAAGAGAAACAGCTCCTATTCTGAAGTAAAACTGTTTGGGTTAACTCAAATTATATAAGACAAATATGAATAATAAAATACAAAAGTAAGATTTGAAGATGTTGATTTACATGTTTTTCCTTCAGTTTTATCAGCTGATTGTTTTCTCTTTCAGATCCGTCTTCTGACTCTGAGGATCCTCTCTCAGTTTGAGGCAGAGCTCCCGCCACAGTCTGAGGTACAGCTGCCTGTCCACATTCTCCCCAATTGCATCAAATACAGAGGTTTTATGAATATTAAGCAATAAGCTCATGTGCTTGTCCAGGGTGAGGAGAACGTGGACGTGCAGCCAGTGTTTGCAGTTTGCCTGCAGGCAGAACTGGTGCCGGCCTCGGTGCAGGACTACAGAGACAAGCTGCTTCACCTGCGGAAGCTCAGACACGACCTGGTGCAGCGCAGCCTGCCACAGGGACTGCCAGGAACCTTCCAACAGGTACAAGGAGACTACTACTCCTGGCTGTTTAAATATATTTCTTTTCAAAAGATTTTTTAATATCAACATAGTCTCAGAATACATTTTCTGTCGTTTTCTGATCCATTAATCAAATAATTGTTGCTGCTGTAGGTATAAAAGTAGTGAAATTACACCTGATAATCCTGGACCTTTTTTTCTTTCAGGTGCCTCTGCGTTATCTCATCGCAATGCTGTTCGTCAACTTCAGGCCACTGTGGGACGCAGTCATTGAACTTCTTGTGTGAGTAGTCAGCTGAATTTAGATTTCCGTTGTTTTCATTAAAGTGATTCTCTTATTGTCAGTAGGGAAGTATGTCATACAAAGTGAAGATGTCTAATTTCTAAACATGAGTCGTATCATTTGTTGTTGACATTGTATTATACCGTTGAATATGTTTATTTTACAGAGCTTTGTCTAAATATATATGACAAATATTCAAACTGTTGTGTTTTCTTTCCTTTCCACAGGACCCATGCCAGAGGGATGGACAACAAGGAGTTCTGGGTCGTTTACCATGAACTTCTGGAGATGGTGGCAGGGCTGGCAGGTGAGGCTCCCTGCTGGGCTGCTGGATTCTGGTGCAACATATTGTCATTAGTTGGTCTTAGATGCTAACTTACAAAGATTGGGGCTCGATGTTAGATATATATAAAATATGCATTGAGCAAAGTGAGAAAACTAAATCTCCTCTCTCTGCCTGTCTTAGAAAAGGAACTGCAGGACAGTGATGAAGATGACGTCAGTGATGATGAGCAAGAGTCTAGTCCTCAGAGTGAGCCAGGCTGTAATGTCATTGAAAGTGGGGACGTGGGGGTGCTGTTCCTGGAGCAGCTGAAGTTGACCTGTGACCCCAACGACCGGACGGACTTCCCCAACTTCCGCAGCCTGCTGTGGCGCGCCATGACCCAGTTTCCTGACAGAGTGGAACCACGCAGCCGAGAGCTGAGTCCTCTGCTGCTCAGGTTCATCAGGTCAGTGAAAGCAGCGTCGATTTAGAAAGAAGTTTCCCCCTAATTGATCATTTTCAAAGTGTAGATCTGTGGAAAAGGAGTCCAAATATGAAGTGCTGATGTTTTTCGTTTTGGTTGCCAGGAATGAGTTTTATCCTGCCGACCTGCTGGTAGCCCCCACTCAGGACCTGAGGAAAAGGAATGATGCTGCCCAACAGGATGCTAGGATGGCTGTGGATGAAGAGGAGGAAAGAGAGGAAGACGAGCAGGGTGTGGAGGAAAAAGGCCCACAACAGAAGAAGGCACGTCCAAGGAGAGCTGCTTCCAAGTAAGACATTAGTTACCCACTGTGAACCAACTGGTCAGCACCACATGGCAGAAAGACAAGTGAGCAGCTAACATTAGCTGGTTAGAATTATGGAGCATTTAACAGACGTGTATTTCCCTCTGAAGGTGGAGGAGACCAAAAAGAGAGCTGCAAGGAGAATGAACATGGATTAACATTCATTAGGTGGACAGAAACATGAGTGCTAATGTTGCTGGGTGTTTAAACAGGCAATTTCTAATTACAGCCTCCACACATGAATTTGTGAATGAATGTATGACTGGGCTGAAAGCAACTTATAAACAGAACCGTAGAAACAATGAATCTACACATTGTTGATGACCTCTGCTAATTGTGTAATCTTTTTAAACGAGATTTCACTTTTTCTCCCACAGACAGCTGATTGTCCATTTGAGAGTTTTCGCCAAATTCACCAATCCTCGTTCTCTCTACCTGGAGGCCAGTCTCAGTGAGCTCTATAACCAGGTAATCTAAACACAGCCCATACATCTGTTTACATAAACACACATACATATATTTTTTATTTCTGTCTCATGTCAATGCATGTGGCCCACCCGCTCTTGGATTGCAAGATATGAATACAAACGCATATTGTACATCTTCCTCCGGTGTTACATATACAAAACATGTGGGAATGAAGAAGACACACAGAAAAGAGAAAGAAAAACCTGTAATGCAACATCGATGTTTCCCCTTGAATGTGAACATATCTAGAGCAGTAATCCAAACTTTTTTTTTCTCTGTGTCTGTTTTCAGTTGCTCTGCCATCAAGACCAGCAGATTCAGGGAGTGGCCCTGGAATGTCTTCTCACATACAAAGACCCAAACATTGTACCATACAAGTAAGAAAAGCACCATAATCACCCTAAAAGATGGACAGGAAAACTCATGTACAGTAATCCGAGTTCTGTTTCTGATTCCCGGTTTATCCCTCTTCCTCAATGGGATCATTGTGAGCTTCTTTGATAAGTCCTACTCTCGTCATTAAACTTCTTTGGTTACACACAGAGGAATGTTAACTTCCACTTCAGTCCTGACTCTGCCTGTCATTATGGCCTCGACTATCTGGTATCAAGCCATCCCCTTCCTGTACATCCAGCCGACCTGCAGACAGATGTGTGGTTTCGGGGAGGCAGTATGATGTTTCACTTCTTGTATCGATGTAAAGTCAATATGAATCAACATCAAGGCCCAGTGGGAGTTTCTTCAACACAAGTCTGAGTGCCTGCCGCATTTTAAAACAAGATGTTGAGTCATTCTAATCAGCAATTCCCATTAGTTATCTACACTGTGGCAGCTCGCCATTTTATAATCTGTCCTGTCACAGTTTCACATCGAACCAAATGTGTTTTTTACACTTTACACGCATAATAAAATAAGAGATCTCTGGTGTTTTGCTCCGATGCTCCTTTGTGTAGCTGTTTTTCTATTGTCCACGCAGTCAGACAAGTGACCTGTAAGTGACCTTCCTGCACGTACGCCTCAACTAACGCCATATGTTGAATAGAATTCTGCGGGAAACACTGATAAGCAACCAATGCTGCTCTGTGGTCCCAGGGGATTTACCTTGTTTATTTGTGTGTGTGTGTGTGTGTGTTCAGGGGGAATCTTGAGAGGCTTCTGCAGGACAAACACTTCAAGGAGGAGATTGTCCATTTCAACATTTCTGAGGAGACAGGAGTGGTTGATGCTTCACACAGAGTCAGACTGATCCCTCTGCTCATGAGGTACTGTGTGTGTGTGTGTGTGTGTGTGTGTGT